AAAGGAGCTTGTGCTAAAGAAATAGGCCCTTTGCTACATATCTGTATCTTTAAATAGGTTTCTAAATCTCAGCTCTAAACACCAGACTGTAGACTGACAGCAAAGGAGGGACAGGCCTCAGGATAAATAAACCCCACAAAATTCATTATGTCCATCTCTGTTTTTAACCATTCTTTTCAAAGGACTTTTTGATCTATGTATTAAGATGTCCTCTCCAGAGAGGAGACAAGACTACTGTGAAATCCTTCAATAATGCTAAGAAAGTGGAAAATGTATCCTTTGATTTCTCTAGCATGCAATGAATCAGATTCTGTTTTTCCCATACAGTGTGATAGGTAACAGGAAGAGGATCACTTAACACCAACTTTTCTTAAAGAGGTTGCAGGTCAAGGTAGAGGCTGCCAGAGAAAACTGAGAAAACACTTTTGTATGGCAACTGCTGTATCAGTCAACAATACATTGGTTGCTTTTCTTCTGGAATAGATGCACTGTGATGATTCGGGTTCCAGGAAGCATCTCTTGTGATCCATCATTAAACCGTTTCCCCGCAGTTCAATGTTGGGTCCTGGACCCTTACAACATCTGAGTGGTGGGAAGACGAAAGAAAAAAGGCAGTCGTTACCTGACAGTCCTGTCATCCCTCATAGCTCGGAAAAATTAACTTTTTTTTTTCTGCAAAGCCAAGGAAATGTTGGCCAACCATGCCATCTTTTAAAATACGTGACACAAGAACCTCACAAATTCAGAGTAAAACCCACTGACATAGTGACTGTATGGGGACAGCAGAAAAATATCAATTTTAAAAGGGCTAAATGCACAATTATAGTAATCATTTCCTGGTATTAAGGAAGTGGTCTTCTAAAATTGCATTAGGTCTAGGTCTCATACACCTAAGCACGAAGTCCTAACTTAACCACAGCTATAAACATTTACTTATCTCTCAAACCAAAGTGAGTAGGTAAGGGTGACAATATCAAGTCTCTAGGCACCTCACAAGGGGCCCTTAAAAATGTTTATTCAAACCTCATAAGGCCAATCTGGAGCCGAGTCAACACTGAGACAAGCATACTACTCTTTGTAGTGAGTGAGACAAGTGGGCGGCCCTGAAAAGGACCTTTTACTTCGTTGGAGCGCACATGCCTGAGTGCACTCTTAGCCGCCGAAGCCGTAGAGCGTGCGTCCCTGGCGCTTGAGCGCGTAGACCACGTCCATGGCGGTGACCGTCTTGCGCTTGGCGTGCTCCGTGTAGGTGACGGCGTCGCGGATGACGTTCTCCAAGAAGACCTTGAGCACCCCGCGAGTCTCCTCGTAGATGAGTCCGGAGATGCGCTTGACGCCGCCGCGCCGGGCCAGGCGGCGGATGGCGGGCTTGGTGATGCCCTGGATGTTGTCGCGCAGCACCTTACGGTGGCGCTTGGCGCCGCCCTTGCCGAGACCTTTACCTCCTTTGCCACGACCAGACATAGTGAAGACTAAATTACTTGAAAGAGCTACACTGACTCATGCCTTAAGGTGACAATTCTTTTATAGGGCTATGTCGGACCTGTTTGAAACCTTCAAACCAGGGGCGGGATCTGTTCTTCCCGCCTCCCGGAGCTTTTTTTTTTCCTTGCTCAGACTGGTGCAGAGGGGTGGAGCCAGAGGCAGCAGCCAATCGTGAAACAGCTAGGAACAAGCCAATTAGTAAGGGTTACAGGAAAAAGGTGAAGCTGAGGCAGTACTTCAGATTTCTCAGTGTATGAAATGGGGGTACGTGGTGTTACTCCGTAATTACACATTAGTTTTAAGGAATTGATATCATTGTTTGGGCCTTCAGTATTTTATTGATTAATGTATGTGTAGTTGTCTAAGCAGGGTCCTTTGGCAACCTAGTGAGGGGTAACATACAGACTTGCTAGTCATTCAGTTTAAGAGCATTGAGGGATCCACTGAAGATTTATGCGTGGGTAGATCCTGAAGGCAAGAGATCCTACTTCTGGGAACGCGAGGCTTATGGCTTGTTTGTATCCTTAATCAGGAACAGCTCTCCAAACAGCCAGCATCATAGCGTTCAGCTTCAAGAGTATGCTCCATGCAACTGCTGTCTGGCCTTGGCTAAGGTGTATTTTTGCTTTATACACATTCTTTGTAGAATAATGCATCAGTTACATGTCAGGAAGTCAGAATTCATTTCTCTCCTAAGACAGAATCCTCAATGTAGTTTTGAGAGTCCCTCAGAATGATGAATACCTTACTCACCATGATATCCATGAGAAGTTTAAGTTCTTTGGGTAGGAGGCTGGGATTTGCCATGATTAGTGGAATAGGCCGGATTCATCATAACTGTCCCTTACATGAAGTCTTACCCTAGTATACACACGCGACATTCAAGAAATGTGGAAAGGAGATACACAAATATTCCGATGTTTATTTTTGTAATTTCAAACCAGAACTTAACTTTTCTAAATGATATGAATTCAGATAACAATGTAAGTGGCATGAAGTGCTATTCCTGCAGCATTTTAATTGTCATTAATCCAGCAAATCATTTAAACATTGCTTTTTCACAATGTTGTAGCTTACATTGGCAGATCTGGCTGTTGTATGTATTAATGAATAGTCACATAATTATGTTAATATTTTACTAACTTTGATTTTTTAGATGTTTTGATGAGATGTTAATAGTGTTTCTTTTGTACTTCCATGTATTTTAAATATAACTATTTAAAAACATAGAAAGGGCTGAAAACATAAAACAGAAAAGCCTGGCAAGCACAATGGCCTGAGTAAAATCCCCAGTTCCGCAAAAAATAAAAAAAAATTAAATAAAAATGTACAAACAAATAAATGGTGTGAATAATAAATAAGTGTTCTACAGGGTCCTGAGATGGTCAGGAGATTCTAGGATCCATAAATGTGCTCAGAGATGCATTAAGAGATCCTATATCTGAGGATGACCCACTAATACTATAGACTGCTAGTCAGTGTTAGATTGTTTAGTTGAATTCAAACACCTATAGTATTTAGATGCCAATAGAATATTCACCTCTGACAGGACAAAAAAAAAAGGATACAAAGGAAAGATCATTTTGTTTTTTCTAAATACAAAATAGGATAAATTTACAGCTACTTTCACTTAACTCAATGAGAAGAAAGAGGTGTACTAATAGTGTTTGGACAGGATATCGTGTCTGCTTCTTGTACTATGGATAACCACTAAGAAGATAACAATGTATACTATATTGATTATCAAAACTGTCCTATTAATCAGCTGTGAAACTGTCTCATTCATATTTATTTCTCAATAAAAATAAAAAAATCCTATATATTCAGGAATGCAATGCATATTACTAACAATAATCTAATGGAGACGTGGAAGGATAAATGACACTGATATTCTTATTAATAATAAAGACATTATTTATGAAATTTTCTGGGAAAAATGTTCTAAGTCTTTACTCAACTTGTACAACTGGCAATAAAATATTCTAGAGATTAAAAACGCTCTCCAATTTCAATAGTGGAACTATATCTGTAAACTCAGAGACCAAATGTCCTCTTGATATGCTTGAGTGTACCCCAGAATTACTTTAGTAGTCACACAAGATACACAGCAGGCTGTCAGACAATGTCGCACCAAGCACAAGAGGAAGGAAAAGCAGTTCTCATTTTGCTGCTTTGCTGTATATTATTGTCCTAACTTTGTAGTTCCTGCTGTACTATCTTATATGTAGGTAAATCTGTTATTGATTCTCAATAATAAATGATATTCTTTCGCTCTGGGCGCAGATCATTTTGTTCCCAGAATTATTTTGTTTGTCCAGAATGTGAAGGTGTCTAAATTTCCACTGAAGAAAAAAGCCAGTCGACATTTTACTGTACGAGGATATTTTCCCTTTACCCTACTTTTCTATGCCCTGTACTTATGGTGCCCATGAAATGTTTCCTGTGCAAAACATTCCAAGATCAAGGGGTGTTCAACCTCTGAGTTGAAAATATGAGCTGTACCAGTGACCACAAATTTCAAATACCTGATTCCAGAAAAGGCCCTTAACTTCCTCATTGCCTGTAAAACATGCAAACCCTTACTTTGCTTTGATACTTTGGAGTCAATGGCTTCTCTCAGGTCTCTATCTTAAATAATGCTTTTCTCTCTCAATTTATTTCATACACTGTTAAGTGTCATGTTACTTTACATTACAGAATGATTGTTGAACAGAAATTCTTTTTACAATATTACTATTGCAATTCTTAGAAAAAGAGGCAGGGTGTAGGCTTCTCAGAGATCCAAAGCATAAATGAGTAGCAGCTACTTATTTATTCCTTCTGTTCAAGATTCATTTCATTTAAAATGAGTAACAAGGATTAAACAGCAGTGCAGTTGCAGTGCTACCCAGAGCTCCACTGGTTAAGAAAACATGAATTGGAACATCAGCCATGATGGCCAGAATCAGCAACAGAAGACATTTTGCTTCCATTTTCATCCTGTTCAAGTTCCACAAACTTGCTGCACGTATTTTAGCACATTCTTTTACATAAATCACTACCTGTAGCCCACCTGCATGGTGGGGCACACCTGAGATTCCAGCATTCAGGTGGCTGAGGCAGGATGAGTTCCAAGTTGGACTATTTACAAGTTCAAGGCCAGGCTGAACTGCGCTGATGGATGCTAATGAGAGAAAGGAAGAAGGAAGGCCACAGCTCCATACTTCTGTGTGTTTATAATCTATTAGGCAGATTTAAAAGTGAATAGATATGCAGATAATTTGACATAAATTACGATGACTTTTAAAGAGCTCACTGTAGGAATTCACTTGATCTTAGCCAAAAGGCCAAGAAGCAATTTGGTGTAGGAATTCAAGTAAGACAAAGAGCTTGCCCTGTGTGTGATGGGCCACACTGGATGGTCTGCTTAAAACAGACCATATGCACAAACTCTCAGCTTTAACAACTATATTTGGAAAGTGGGTGGCCACTGAAGCCTAAAATTCTATCTGAAACTGCATGTTCCATGACTTTTGTTTTAAGCAGAAATGTTACAAGTGAGAAACATTGGTGGGGTGTAAGGCTTCCAAAAATAAGGCCTTCCTGTACATTATATTCAAGGTCATCACCTCTAAGCCTGAGAATGCCCCCCACCCCATGCCTCCTCCCAGGTAGGCAATGGCTTCTCTCTAACCACACTCAAAGCACTGGGAACCTTGAAAAGAAAATGCCTTGTCACGGTGGGGTTAAAAGCGTGGTTACCCAAGGAACAATGACACAGGCAGAGGACACTGTGCCTTTCCCTTCAAGCTCATGTCAGGATTTCCAGCTAAGAACAAGGGAGAGAATGCTGGCACAGCCACCAACTTCAGGAAGGCAATAGGCTGGCTCGTGACCACACCTAGTAAAAGAACCCCTCAAAGGGTGAATTACTGGGACTAAGGATGCCATAGCCTCCAAAAGCCTAAGGAAGTGACTAGGAGCATAAATAAAAGTCATACCTCTCAGAAGCAAAGTAATGAAGCCCAGAGAAGTGAAGCACATCTAAATTAGGAAGTGCCACCCAGGCCAAAAAATAGAACCTAAGTATTCCCTTAATCTTTGTTGAGGATGGAGACTTGTTTACCTGTGAACCACCTGCCATCTGAGTAGTATGGTAGTGCTACATAGCTTTTACAAAGGTAGGTGGCTCTGAAAAGAGCCTTTGGGTTGTTTTACAGTGGTTCAAGAAAACTTTAAGCTCTCTCCCCGCGGATGCGGCGCGCCAGCTGGATGTCCTTGGGCATGATGGTGACCCGCTTGGCGTGGATGGCACACAGATTGGTGTCCTCGAACAGCCCCACCAGGTAGGCCTCGGAAGCCTCCTGCAGCGCCATGACGGCCGAGCTCTGGAAACGCAGGTCGGTCTTGAAGTCCTGCGCGATCTCGCGCACCAGCCGCTGGAACGGCAGCTTGCGGATCAGCAGCTCGGTGGACTTCTGGTAGCGCCGGATCTCGCGCAGCGCCACGGTGCCCGGCCGGTAGCGGTGCGGCTTCTTCACGCCGCCGGTGGCCGGCGCGCTCTTGCGGGCGGCCTTGGTGGCCAGCTGCTTGCGCGGGGCCTTGCCGCCGGTGGACTTGCGCGCTGTCTGCTTAGTGCGAGCCATTATAAACTCAGTGAGAAAAGAGGAAAATAATAAAATGGAACCTCGCACAGCCTAGCTGTATTTATATGTAAAGAGAGTCTCATTCTGATTGGATCAGGCAACTATTACCTTACAGCTAGGGACACAAGTATTGGTGGCTACATTTGCTTCCGGATCACTTAAACTTCGATAGCATTTCGGGAAAGAAAAAAAAAAAAAAAACAAAAAAAAAACCCAAAAACCAAAAAACATCATTTGCTAGTCTTTCTCCTTAAACTGCTGTTTTCTAGCTTGTCTCTTGCGGCGTTCTCATGCCTTTCATTTCAGATGTTCCTTCTGAGGCGATGGTACATTGCTTACAAAATAAAATTTTAAAAGTTGTGCACCACAAGTTTTTTTTTTTTTTTAAAGGTTGGCCAAACAAATTTTAATCCCTATTTATGGAGAAAATTTAACCTCACATTAAACATACTGGCATGTAAACAACTTTTAAAGATGTTATAAACGTGTTGTGATCATTAACTGAAAAATTACAAATCCAATATTAAACTAAGCTTTCAATTAAAACATAACTTTGACATATAAGAGCACACATAAACCCCAGGCATTATTATGTCTGTACAAAATGTATCCAGTTATAGATGGCCTGGGGAACATACCTTTCTTTCTACTCGGGTAGAGCATATCTTGATTAGGGGCCACTTGACTTCTAGAAATGTAGTTTTGTCTTACTTATTGAGGGCCAGACTCCCTTTCAAAGGTAGTCCTGGCTACTTACAGACCTAGAACTCCTCAGATTTGTCAGACCTTGAGGACTTTCCACCTCAGAAGGCTTGCAGTGATTAACTTGTAATCGTTTGATAAAGTAGCCTGAGACTTTTGGTTACATTCCAGGAATGCACTGTATAGTTTAAGTATCTTTTACACCGCGAAAGACAAACTGCGAGAAAATACCCATTGTAGCAGGAAAACCAGTGCACTCTTTTTCTGAATACATGGGTGGCTCTAAAAAGAGCCTTTTGTTTTGCAATACTGGGGTCCTTGTAAAGCTGCTAAGCTCACTTGCCCTTTGCCTTGTGGTGGCTTTCGGTCTTCTTGGGCAGCAGCACGGCCTGGATGTTGGGCAGCACGCCGCCCTGCGCGATCGTCACCTTGCCCAGCAGCTTGTTGAGCTCCTCGTCGTTGCGGATGGCCAGCTGCAAGTGGCGCGGGATTATGCGCGTCTTCTTGTTGTCGCGGGCCGCGTTGCCCGCCAGCTCCAGGATCTCGGCCGTCAGGTACTCGAGCACGGCCGCCAGGTAGACCGGGGCGCCGGCGCCCACGCGCTCGGCGTAGTTGCCCTTGCGCAGCAGGCGGTGCACGCGGCCCACGGGGAACTGCAGCCCGGCGCGGGACGAGCGCGTCTTGGCCTTGGCGCGAGCCTTGCCGCCCTGTTTGCCGCGTCCAGACATCCCTAAACCAAACAGAAGGAATCAACAAAAAAAGAGGAAAAGAGCAGGATAGCTACTTAACCAAATGGCAAGTAATTATACTTCTACTATGGATTGTAAATCGCAATCTTTGATTTGCTAAAGCAGTTGTACAGACCAACCAATTGCAAAAGAGAATTGAAAGAAAAAAAAAAAAAGTGAAATTTGCATATGACCCATGACCGCGCAAAATTCTCCAATGAGAGCCTAAGATTTTAAAAACCACGTTTGCGTAAAGGCCCTGCAAATATTAATGCTGCTTTCGCAGGAAAACTATCATTTCTTTCGTCCTTAGGTTTCTCAGTTGTGTTTGCCATGCCTGAGCCAGCGAAGTCGGCGCCTGCCCCGAAGAAGGGCTCCAAGAAGGCGGTGACCAAGGCGCAGAAGAAGGACGGCAAGAAGCGCAAGCGCAGCCGCAAGGAGAGCTACTCGGTGTACGTGTACAAGGTGCTCAAGCAGGTGCACCCGGACACGGGCATCTCGTCCAAGGCCATGGGCATCATGAACTCGTTCGTCAACGACATCTTCGAGCGCATCGCGGGCGAGGCGTCGCGCCTGGCGCACTACAACAAGCGCTCCACCATCACCTCCCGGGAGATCCAGACGGCCGTCAGGCTGCTGCTGCCCGGGGAGCTGGCCAAGCACGCTGTGTCTGAGGGCACCAAGGCTGTCACCAAGTACACCAGCTCTAAGTGAGCACGCTCGCTGCAGCATACAACCCAAAGGCTCTTTTCAGAGCCACTTATTTTCTCAACAAAAGAATTGTAATGCCTTTTTACTTTTGCCCTTTATATATTACAAATTAAGGTAATAATGGTTTTAAACACTTGTCTCCCTTTTGCATATTTTACAATTATATTTCTTTAGGTTGGTTTTTTCTGTGTTAAGATTGCGTTGAATGGCATAATCATTATTAATGCAAATTTTTTTGTCCTCTAATTTCCAAACTTTTTAACCTAATCCCTATTACTTTTCCGGTGTGTGGGATGGGTACTGTAGCCTGAGTGAACTGCACTTCCAGACAAATCTTGTTCTTAGGTTCTCACTTAAGTTTTTGGTCAACAACTTAGTAATACTGGTGTGTGTATTAACAGTACACATTTGAAACAATATTTTTCTAATATGTAGTTTGTACGTTTGTGTGTCCTCCGATGTGGAAATTAGGCCAAATTCATTGTGGCAGAATATCGGTAGGATTTCCTTCGAGAATGATAGTATACTTACAGAAGCCAGTCACTTTAAAACCTTGTAAGTGACATCTGGTCACTTAGTGGATTACATTCATTAAACATCAACTCCCTTTTCTTTAGGGGATTGCAAGAGCATCAGTATCAGACAGCTGGGATCACTGTGAAGCTTCAGATGTTGCTTGTCAATTACAAGAAGAAGTAACTTGATACGGAATTTCCAAGTTTCTGGAAAAGATTTTTACTTTCTGTTGGTCACTGTCTAGAATGGCTGGTTGGATTGTGGGGTAAGGCACCTAAGGATCCTCGCTGCCCTGTGAGCAGTGGAGAGGTCACTGCCGGATCGGACACCAGTCTAGACCTTAATATTTTGTTTTGTTTTCTTTCTTTCTTTTTTTTTTTTTTTTGGTTGATTGTTTTTTGTTTTCCCAAGTGGAATATTGTTGGGCTAGCAATGTAGGGAGGTGGAAAGGAGGAGATAAGGGCCAGATGTTGCCTTGCCAATAGTATCCATCCTATAGTGTCTCCTTCTGGTATCAGAACTTTGTTCCATCTTTTTGGTTTTCTTCCTACACTCTCAGAATCATGTTCATTTCCCTCTTTCCCTAGCTGGCCCAGGCTTTCCTTCTGTCTTCTATACACTAAAATTTTGAATTTTCTCTGTGTTCCCTGGCTTATATATTATTCTTATTGCTGTCTACTGTTTTTCAATAGTGAAGGTCACATTGTGCTTTTTAGTTTGCCAATAAGTATATACCTTTCCTTAAATTATTTTTATAAAAATTATCTTTATTTGTTTCTATTGTCCTGAGTGGATATTGACTGGTGGAACCAATCTCCCTTGGTTTATAAGTGGCATTGTTACTTTATGTATTAATACATTGGGTTGTCGAACTTTTAATCATGTGAAGGACTTTGATTTTTTTTCCTTGGTCTCCAACAATGAAATTTCTAAAGCATCTCTCACTCTCAGTTTTGCTACTAAATAAAACAATTATGTGAAGAGTCATAAGAAGTGAGGTGTGTTTAGTGTAGGGTACAAGCCTGTCAGCTAACGGTGCTTTGCCCAGGTAGGTGATTTTGGTTGACTCAGGATATTTAAAGATGGATAAAGTACCTGAGAATTGTGCTCAGTGGTAGAGTGTTTGACTAGAATATTTTAGGCCCTCAATTCAATCTCTCATTCCTTAAAATACTACCACCACTACTAGAACTATTAATCTACTGCTCAAACAGAGGAGGAATGCAAAGAAATCAACTCTAGATGGAGGAGAAGATAGTTAATATAAAAATAATTCCTAAAGCTTTAAGACATTAAATTTTAAAAAGTGTTTTTTAAAATTTCTATTAAGACATCGCTGAGAATATATAGTATTAAATAGTACAATAGATTTTGTGTTTTGCCATGTAAATGAATTTTGGTTCTTATGCCCTTTCTCACAGTGAGACTATTAAAATGTAGGCTACTGGCATTCTTCTCAAAAGACTTATGATACGAGGAGTCATTTCAGATAAGTTTATAATTTATGGAATTGTCCCATGGAATCCAGGCCGTAATATGGGGAAGTACCACCCTCTCACTTCCTAGGTCTTTCGATCTTTATGACCTTGATTGTAGGAGACTAGGTAGGAAGATTAAGCCCTCATGTGGCTGCTCTAGTGAGGAGAGAAGAGGGGGGCAAGCAGGCTGAAGCAATGCAGGCTCCAAGGAAAAGTTAAAACAGTTAGGATCCTGTTGTTTACCCACATATGTACCAAGGAGGGTGGGTGGCAGCTGAATCCTGTGATACTCTAATTGCTTGTACCCCTGTCCGAGTGAACAAAGGCAGGGTGAGCCAGTCTGGGGAAGGCGGAGATACTATATTGAAAGGAGACAAGCATTCTTTGGCTCACATTTTCTCCTAATTCTGTCTCTTTGCTTTTCATTTACTTAGTCCTTTTATTAGGCACAAAGCTTAGTTAGGCTGCCTTTTATACCTGATGAAAGAATCCATTCAAGACAAACAGTCAGTGAGGTAGCATTGGTAGCATTTATTGTAAACTACCAAGAGAATTATGGATTCACTTGACAAAGCAGGCCAATATTGCCAAGTTCCCATCTGCACCAAGTGATATTTTGAATATCTCTGTCACTGGCTAACCTGGGTACCTACTTGTAGGAATAATGGGAATTTAACTAAAGCACACATTTATACACACAAGTTTTAATTGGAAAGTTATGAAGGAGATAGGAAAGTACTCCAGTTCATGGAGCTTGAGGGTTTCAGCCATTACATGAGTTTAGCCTGGTCCACCCACAAAGACAGGAGACCATGCATTTCTTAAGACTTATCTGTAGCAGACTGCCACAATTCTTTTTCCCTGAATGGTGGACTGGGTTCTGTTGATCATTGCTAGATCTCATTTCTGCGGTCATAGTATCTGAGTCCTGGTGTCATAATTCTGGAATCTTTAGCCTGGGAATTTGTTTTGTTCCCAGGTCCTTAGAGGTTCACAACAAACAGGTGAGACTATGTAAGCAAGATTATGAATATTGTTCCTCCAACTTTTAAAAAGACCCTCCGTAAATAATTAATATGCTTATCTGTACAGCTGAGAAGTAATGTGGCCACAGTTTTACAGCAAGAAAGGGTATAAAATAAAAGTCAAACTCTGCTGTACTTTTAGTTATCTCCTGGGCAACTACAGGCTCAAGTGATAAGTAGTGGTTTATAGTAAAGATGGCTTTCAAGGCCCTAATTGTCCCAGAAGAAACACAAGGCATGTTTTTAATCATCAGCAGGAAAGGGCTCCATGGGTTCTCTTCCTAGTTCCCTATCCCTGTGGTGACCCCTCACTATATTGTTCTAGCACAAAAAAATTAGGTCCCCTTTACCTATTTCAGAGCAAAGTAGATCCTGGTTTATTTCTCAGGTGGTTTTCTCAATTCAATTTGTTTCAAATCTTGAGGTTTTTGCAAATCATCACCAATACTCTGATATTTATATGGGACCTGGATCTCATGAGCAACATAATGCTGGAAATAAAGGAGAAACAAATATATGAGCTCAGTAGTCAGGAGAGGTTTACTTAGAATAAACCTGACAGAGACTTGTTATGAGGACAAGATTAAACACTATCATACAGGCTATGAGGCTTTTGAAAACTAGGATTATAAGCATGAAGGGTACCTCTGAGTGGAAAAGTTCAAAATGGGCTGTCGGGGAAAAGGAATTGTGGAAATCTGGTAGAGATAAGGTTTAAGAAATGCATGGTGTGGTGTTGTCTGTCAGGAGCAGGGATGAAGAATGTGAAAGGAGTTATGGGGTGAAGCCATGGGCATGGGCCTCATTAACCGGTGATTACACATTTTCAGGGGCTCTGATGGCACAAGGGGATGGAAGAGGCTTGCAGTAACCTCCTGTCAGCATAGGACGGTGGTGGTCAGATTCTTTCATTTATAGGATGTAACATTCTTTTTAGCTAAAGTTTGAAAATACAAGCTTGTGTGGATCTTATCTAGTGATGAGGAAAGTGAAGGCGAAGTTCATCTTTGCTTTCCAAGTATTCCCTCAGCTGCTAGTCTCCAGCCTGGAAATGACTCTCTTCCGGATATGACTGCAGCATCTTTTATAAAACAAGTGTCACTCCTAGGATTCAGGGACCCATGATGATTATGAAGCTTATCAACATTGTACTTAGAAGTTATTTTTGAATTGAAAAATGTCTTCCTGTTCTTTGTTGATGTTTAGTGTTTCCTCAGTGGCTTGAGTCGTAAGAAACTTGAGAAAGAAAAATTCATTTAAATCCAGTTGGAGGCCCTTTGAAGAACTCTTCCTAGGGCCAGGGAGATGGCTCCGTGGAATAATCACTTCCCTGACAAATGCAAGGGCCTGAGTTCAATCTCCACTTCTGCCAAAACAACAACAAAACCCAAAATGCTTCTTTTTCTCATATCATCAGTTTGTAGGCTATAACAACCAGGAATGCTATATGCCTTTTTTTATAGAACTACATGCCAGGTATCCAGCTATTTAGGTAGGATAAAAGAAATAACAACAGGTAGAAAAGAAAGAATATTACAATTAAAACATGCTTTTCGAAAGTCTACGTCTCTGGGGACCCACTTGAGGTAACCGAAGATTATCTATGTGGGTCAGCTTAGGCATCTCTCCTTCAAGTTGCGTGGCACTGAAAGTTCCTCGAGTATGGTGCAAGTTCTTAAATGTATTTATGTGAGCAAATAAAGAACAGGAACTTGGCCCAAATTTAAAGGTACAGGTTGAAGCATTTCAAACAGTGCTTAAATTACCTATCTTAAAAAACAAATCAAACGAAAAAGAATTGGACTCATACTAGTACACTGATCAGTATAATTCAGGGTATGGAAAATCTTTTCACTGGGTTTTCCTCTTCTCATGGACAGCCTAAGTGTTCCCAGTTCTCTGAGCAACCTGCCTCATTCTTCTGAACACCGGCACTCCACTTCTGAATACAAACTTTTAAAATGAGCCTAGTGAATTCTTTAAGTGCCTTTTTCTGATCAGTCCTGACACTTCCTTTTCACAACAGGAATTTAGTGAATCTTCAATTTATTCTACAGTGAGGGTGGGTTAAGTTTCTATATCTCTCCTTAGGGAACCCTGGGGTCCATTTGGGTGACAACATCCAAAGGACTGCACAGTGTGTGACCTTAAAATGCCATGGTGCTTCGTGGGATCATGAATCTCACTAAGGTGAGCTGGAGATGCTGGTCTGATTTTAGCTCAAGAACTGAAGAGAATTTTACCCCTTGTTTTTCTGGTACTACAGTCGACCTTGTCTTTCATTCCTTGTCCGTTTCTATTGTAAGTCAACAATGTATGGTCAAACCATTGTCGCAATGCAATTTATATTGCAATCTATTGATCTAACTTCCTCTCATATTTCTGAGGTGATTGTATAGAGTTCACTTGCAAATCATGGTATAATTTTGCTATTAATGTAGGTCAATAAGTGGACTTAATTCCACATTTAACTTTATCTTTTGTTAGATGATAAAAGTGTATCACAGGGGTGGTATTGTACTGCATATGTGTATATATATGTATATATGTATATATGTATATATTTTATATTTTGGGGACAATAATTATAGAATTTGATAGTTATATAATTTCAGGTCCGGGAAGATGAGTCAAATAGAGGCATTTTTCCTCTTAGAATATCAACGTTCAGTACTCTAAATTATAGGCCATGACTATTTTTATTAATCAGTTTATAGATAGCAAACTGGCAGTTTTATTTTTTAGGGTTTTTTTTTTTTAGTTTTTTATTGATTTTAGTCTTTGTTTATTTGAATATTTATACATATTCTTGTGTATATGTATAACATACAAGTGGAAATTGTCTTTACTGTGGAAAAGAAATATAATAGAAAGTCTTTTTTTCTTTTTGCCAGAAGTGGATTGAAATTATGAAATAGTTTATGTCTATACATTTAGCATTTCTTTTGCAGAAGCCATTCATAGTTGATAAACTTAAATACTTGTAATTATTAGACACTGTGTAAATCCTCACTGTGCAATATATGCATATAATGATATATGTATGTAGGACTGGAAAGTCAAAGTAGAAATACAGTAATTCTTTTTCATTAAATGTATGCCTAATGAGCGCCGCGCATGGTCTCACAGGCCTACCGTCACAGCCCTCAGGAGGCTGCGGCAGAAAAATTACTGAGTTGGAGACCAGCCTGAGATACAAAGTGAGCTCAAGGCTAGCCTGATCTGAATAGTGAGACTTCTCAAAGACAAAGAAATTAAAAAAAAAAAACAACAAAACCTTAACATAATGCAAGACAGAACTGATAAACCATGCACTGAAATATCTCCAATAACTCCAAAAATTATGTAGTTCGAAATTAGCTATTTCCTCAAGAAATAAAATCTGATTTGGTAAACAGAAAATTTTAAATGTACCTATCCAAAAATCAGTTATGCTCATTTTTCAATTTTATTGCATTTCCTCCTTTACTTTGGAGGGTTTATACTTAAGAAAATTTGTAGATTACCACTTCACTTGTGTTATCAACTGCTCCCAAGCATACTGTCAAAATTATTAACCATGTTTACATCATTCTATCCAAAAAGGTAATACATGTTAATAGGCAGCCAGCAAAAAAACCTGTAATGGTGGTTAACAGCTGTTACTTATTAAGTAAACTATCAAAGTTGATTAACTGTCAAAGTTACTAAGTAAACTATCAAAATGCATAACTTGGGGAGGAGGAACCTAGCTCAGTAGAGTAAGGGCTTCCCTGGAGAGCGCAATCCCCCAGAAAAAAAAAAACTATCTTAGCACCACAGAAGGAAACGTCGGCAATTCAATGTACAATAAAAGCACTGTATTAACTGCAGAAAAATTGTAAGCCATCACAACTCTTAAAATGAGAAAGTGGGTGGCTCTGAAAAGAGCCTTTGGGTTGTATGCTTCAGCGACCGTGCTCACTTGGAGCTGGTGTACTTGGTGACAGCCTTGGTGCCCTCAGACACAGCGTGCTTGGCCAGCTCCCCGGGCAGCAGCAGCCTCACGGCCGTCTGGATCTCCCGAGAGGTGATGGTGGAGCGCTTGTTGTAGTGCGCCAGGCGCGACGCCTCGCCCGCGATGCGCTCGAAGATGTCGTTGACGAACGAGTTCATGATGCCCATGGCCTTGGACGAGATGCCCGTGTCCGGGTGCACCTGCTTGAGCACCTTGTACACGTACACCGAGTAGCTCTCCTTGCGGCTGCGCTTGCGCTTCTTGCCGTCCTTCTTCTGCGCCTTGGTCACCGCCTTCTTGGAGCCCTTCTTCGGGGCAGGCGCCGACTTCGCTGGCTCAGGCATATTAGCAGAACTCTATCTGAAACAAACCAAAGATGAAACGCAGTAAGCAGAGAGCCACGAAACAGTTCATTTATAGGGCTTGTATGCAAATAAGGATTCAAGAACATTCAGATCTGATTTGAAAACATACTGGTGACGTAATATATGCAAATTTGACTAGTGAACTCTAGTTTTTATTGGTTAGCCAGGCAAGGACACTCTTAACCAATCAACTCTTGCAGTTTACACTTCCGCCTACCACTATAAGAGTGTTCACGTTGCTTAAAGCAGAACATTTCTTTCCTTCCATTTTAGCTGTTTAGTCTCCAGTTACTGAGAAACTAGCATGTCTGGACGCGGCAAGCAGGGCGGCAAGGCTCGCGCCAAGGCCAAGACGCGCTCGTCCCGCGCCGGGCTGCAGTTCCCCGTGGGCCGCGTGCACCGCCTGCTGCGCAAGGGCAACTACGCCGAGCGCGTGGGCGCCGGCGCCCCGGTCTACCTGGCGGCGGTGCTCGAGTACCTGACGGCCGAGATCCTGGAGCTGGCGGGCAACGCGGCGCGCGACAACAAGAAGACGCGCATCATTCCGCGCCACCTGCAGCTGGCCATCCGCAACGACGAGGAGCTCAACAAGCTGCTGGGCAAGGTGACGATCGCGCAGGGCGGCGTGCTGCCCAACATCCAGGCCGTGCTGCTGCCCAAGAAGACCGAGAGCCACCACAAGGCCAAGGGCAAGTGAAGAGTTAGCGCTAGTTAGCCGTTTTTCCGGAAAACAAAGGCTCTTTTCAGAGCCACCCAATTGCTTTGTGAAGTGCTGCAATGCTTCGAGACCCCAACATATTCTTTTCAGCGTCGTTTCAGGATTTCACTGATGATCAGCTTTAAGCATCATCCAGTGGAAAGTAATTCTTTGTCCTAGGATACTAGTTTAAATTCCTAAGCTTTTACAGGGAGTTGCAGAGAAATGAAACGTTGTTATTTTCAGTCAAATGAGTAAGGAAAAAATATTTTCAGCAAAACGGTACCGAGGCAATATAAGTTAAGTATAATGTGGGAAAACAAATTTTGTGTTATGTTACCGTTTGGGCATGCGCTTAAGTACCCACAATTTCAGGTATTGTGTGTCCATACATTCTCACAATATTTGACAGTATGAATAAAAGTTCAAAATTTAAAAATCAAATTTCAGGACCGGATGTTTTAAATTGTGGAGAAGAGGGCGATTCTACCAGCAATAATATGTTCAATTTGGATTTTTACCCTTCAGGAAAGTATAATTAAGAAAAGTCAACACTACATCCTGCTTACCTTTGCATGTGTTAAAAAGGGACTAACTGGAAGCCTACTGCTCCATCTGTCTGAAGGGAATAGCAAGGGACCAACAATCCCGACTTGACTAGCCTCTAAAAATAGTAATGCCTGCCCGTAGCTGTCCTTTCTATTGTATCCTTAGGGAGCTGTGGAGGTGCAAGTGCAGTGGCTCAGCACCCCAAATAAGCAGCTGGTCACCAGAGCTTCAGTTCTCCCTGCCAGGCGCTGTGGCCTAGAGCCCGATCTCGTGCTACCAGAAATGAATCAAGCTGTGTACGTGAAATGTCTGAATTCTCATAGTGTAAAATTGTGACATTCTTCCTTTACTTGTTCATCAAGATACACAGAATGGAATATTTTCTAAATTGGAAGATAATTGACCTAATTTTCTTATGTCAGTGTTTTCTACTATTTTTCTAGGTTATAGGAAGAACAATTCATCTTTCTTTTTTCATGAAATGTAGTTAGACATTTGTATAAGGCTTAAATTTAGTGATACATATGAGTTTAAAAATCAGTTTGGGATGTTTTCCCTTTAAACTGCATTTTTATTTCTAGTTTTATTTTGGCAGAACTGGGAATTGAACTCTGGCCCTTGCACTAGCCAGGCAAGCACTTATTCCACTGAGCCATCTCCCCAGCCCTAAAACTGCACTTTCAGAGGAAAAAAGTGCACAAAATATGTAGTAGTTGCTGTCTATTGACTGCATATGAAAAATTACAATAGTAATGTTTCGTCACTACCTTTTTCCTGCATTAACAGTGATCGTGATAAGCCTCCCTCTTTTTCTAGTGTGACTTGTTTTTATTTAATGTGTCATTCTGTGTTGTTACATTGATATCAAAGTTTTAAGGGGAAAACTTCAGCTGTAAGAGAGCCATGAATCTAGACCTTACCATTATTGGCAAAATATCATTCAAGGAGCTGTGCAGTGGAGCATGTGGAATGTTAATTAGGTTAGTGTGGCTGGAAGGGACGAATAGACTTGGATTACTGGTATTTTCAGCCTGATAGAAACTAAAGTTTTACAGGAAAGGAACATTTAAAGGGAAGGTTTGGAGTTTTATGTATGGCTTTCAGCATAGGTAACCCTGTTATGTCTGGGTGACCATTACCTCGGGACTGGTTCCTTAGATTGCTCAACAGGAGGCTTTATGGCTTCTGCTTCTGCTCACCAGTCTGACCTCTTCATTTAAGAATCCAGAAGGCTTTGCTTTTATAGAAATATACAAAGTACCTTGGAGGTTTATGGCAGTAATTGAAGATTTCTAGGTGTTGCTCTTCAGTAGAAGGCTTTACAAAAATTGAGAACTATGTCCCTGTAAATCTTCTCATTCCTGAAGGGGGATGAGGTAAATCACATAAATTTGTCTATATAAACCTTGCATTTTGTTTTTATTTTATTTAGATTTTTTTTTTTTTTTTTTTGCATTACTGGGAATTGAACTCAGGGCCTGGAGCTTGCCAGGCAAGTGCCTATTCTACTGAGCTAGCATTTCCTTTTTAGAAAGATACTCTTGTAGTGATTCACCTGATCACATACAGAAGTGAACAGAAATTTGAGCCAAAGGTTTATGATAATGACATAGGCAGATATAAAATGGAGCCGGTGATGCCAAGGTTTGTCCTGTGTTTAAACATTAGCCGTCTGCAAACCCAGCTTTGGAAGCCCTGTTAGATAGTCTCTATTGCTAAATTCCTTAGAAATTTATTGAACATCCATTATTTTCCAAAGCTTATGCTATCAAGGTTATGTAAAGAATAAGACATGGAGAAATTAAAGGACGACTCCTGATACAATGCTTGCCAGTGAATAATAGTAGCAGTAAAAACTATAGACAAATTTACGATTTCCATAAGCCATATTTTGAAAACTAAAAAATATATAACATGTACTTAATGTCAAATGTCAAAATATCATTTTAGAATATAATCAGTATGAAACATTTATCAATGTAAACTTTCTTACTGTTGTTCACCCTTAAGATTCCAAGTTGAATGTATATTTTATTCAATCTTGTTACTAAGTTTTATTGGAAAAATATATTGCATTCATATTTCATAAATTTTATTGTTAAAACAGTTTTACACTTATGAGTCGTTCAGCTATAGCTAATATCTAATAAATGAATCAAATATTCAAGGACACAAAAAGTTCCAAACTATTTTTTGAGACAGTGGACATCAAATGAGCAATTGTTTTTGGGGTGTGGATGGTGATGAAAATTGAGAAAGTCGGGGGAATGGTTAAATGTAACCAAATGAATTTTTCAGGCTTTTTGAATCACATAAGTATCCATAGTTGGAGATTATGATAGCAACAGAAGGTAGTTTCAGATTGCAAGACATTTTAACAGACGGAAAAACATTGAGGAAATAAATGTTGGGCTCAAAATAGTGATGGAATTGTCCAATACATTTCAGTATTTTTCCTTCTCCAAGATAATTTTACCTGCATTACTCTCTATTTAATTGGAATGTTTTTTCCCCCACAAGAGACTCATTTATTTCAGGTTTTTATGAAATGCATGACAATGTTCTATTTCTGAAAATGTCCACAAACTCCAAAGTAGTTCGAATTTGCAAGACAAATGTCATCTGTTCCAGGGAGGATGCCTCTTGCTTGTAATTTGCACCGTGGAAGCTAATGCAGGGGAATCACTGCTAGTCGAGGTTAGACTGAGCTACATACACAGTGTTCAATATTAAACTGGCCAGTATTTGGGAGAGAAGGTATTAGGTTGACAGATGCGACTATTTTATTCTCATAGATAGAAGAAATGTTTTAGGGGTTTGAACGAGATGATTGAAGGGAATGAGGCAGGACAAGCAATGCAGCTATTGGTTCCTCTGCAGTGTCTAACGAATGCACAGACTTCTGTAGGCTCGGACATTGCCTCTGGCTCCTCCCCTTTGAACCAGACTGAGCAGGAAAAAAATGCTCAGAGGGGCGGGATCTTAGAGGGGCGGGACGCACATGTACAGCCCCTGCCTTGAAGGTTTCAAACAGGTCCGATATATCCCTATAAAAGACTTGTCCTTTGGTAGCATCCTGGGTAGCTGTTTCACTAGTTGCGCAGTTATGTCTGGTCGTGGTAAAGGAGGCAAGGGTCTCGGCAAGGGCGGCGCCAAGCGCCACCGCAAGGTGCTGCGCGACAACATTCAGGGCATCACCAAGCCCGCCATCCGCCGCCTGGCCCGGCGCGGCGGCGTCAAGCGCATCTCCGGACTCATCTACGAGGAGACTCGCGGGGTGCTCAAGGTCTTCCTGGAGAACGTCATTCGCGACGCCGTCACCTACACGGAGCACGCCAAGCGCAAGACGGTCACCGCCATGGACGTGGTCTACGCGCTTAAGCGCCAGGGTCGTACACTGTACGGCTTCGGCGGTTAAAAATGCATCCAGTCTTTTTTGATCTCTAACAAAGCAAAAGGTCCTTTTCAGGACCACCTACTTTATCTTAAAGAGTAACACACTTTAGTTGCAGCACGTTGACGCTTTAAAACTGGCAGCTGGTTATATAGAATTTTGACAAAGTCCATTTCGCAGTTTTTCGAATTTTTATAATTGGCATGCTAAGGATTTGCTTTCAAGGAGAAAAAATAATTGTCCCACCAAAAATAGGGGTTTTTTTTTTGTAGAGTGAAGTGTGCTGTATGTATGAGTAAAGTCCCTAAATTTATGGATCCTACCATATTAAACTGTTAAATTGTGTTACAGTAATGGAGACCAGGACTGTTAATGTTATTTTCTGGTGTCCATAATTGAGCTCAGGACCTTGTCTTGAATAGGCAGACTGCTGCAGAGCTTCATCCTTGACCCTGGAACTTTTTTCCCCTTTTTTCTTGCTACTTTAAAATTTTAGTCCACTCCCTACGTTACAGTTTAAAAGATACTTTTTATTCTTGTACTGTGTGCTATGCCACAGTAAGTTATGTCATAATGTAGAAGGTATGTAAAAGATTTAACCTTCACCTTCATAAATTAACCTTTTATCTTTTGTCACTAGTATGTTAGCTCAAAGTATTTAGCACAAACTTTGGCATATCTTTTTTTCTGATCCCTACACTGATCTTGGCCTAGAACCTTTAATTTTCTATATTTCTGGTTGCTTTGTCTGAAGAAGCACCTAGTCAGGATCATGTCATGTCGTTTTATGTTATTGCTTCACAGTATCCAGAATTCTATTTGAAATATCCTGAAGTGACAATTTACTGTCTTTTTCTCACTATGATATTTTCTCCCGGGACAGCTAACTCCTTTCCAGCCGTTCCTCACTCCTGGCACACAGGAACCATAACTAACAATTTGCAAACTCCAGAATGGAAATGTCAACTGCTTTTTGAGTTTTTGTTTTGTTTTCTTGTTTTGGTATCCCTTGGCCCATTTCGCTTGTGCTTTTATCACTTCTCAGTGACATGTCCCTCCCATCTGTCCAGTTGCCTGCCACCAAATGCAACCTAAATCATCTCAGTCCTTCTTCAGAAGCTTTAACTTTTTATGGCCTAAGAATAAATCTAATCTCATTGTTTGGCATATAGAACTTTCATAATTTTTATAGTTTTTACATAAGAAAGATACATTGTGTGCCTGTGTGTGTGTGTGTAGATACATTGTGTGCCTGTGTGTGTGTGTGTGCGCGCGTGCACAAGCTTATTAAATCTGTGTTTCAGGATCTTATTATAAGGTGAATTTCTGGGTCTTACCCTAGTCCTAGTGAAACAAATGCTCTGACTGGGACAACCATAGTTCTTTAACAAGGCTTGCAGGTGATTTTTAACATGAGCAATGCAGTTTGAAAGTCTCTTTGCTATATCCTTTTCCCTAATTTTATGCTTGCCACTAGAAAATGAGCGAATGGCTATTGACCTTAAGCCTCTTAAAGACTTTTGTCTATCCAGAATGTTCTTGTGTGATACAGTATTGATGGCTGATGAAATATCATTCTTTTGTCTCTAATACAACTTTGATTTTGCTTAACTTTTGGTTACACGCTTTGTGATCTAGAGGAGGCATAGTTCCTTTCAGCCTGAGGGATATGATCCTGATTCAACCATACCTAGGGTTCTAGGATCTTTACTAATGGATGGCTTGGGCCTAGATACAAGGGGAGTTTTCTGGTGCCATGAGAGCCTTCAACAGCACAGACCAGTTGCCACATGATTTATCTGAGCTTGAAACTAATCAATAAAGAACGTGTGTGTGTGTGTGTGTGTGTGTGTGTGTTGGGGAAGGGTGTAGTATTAGAGGAATTTCAGATGAGAAAAATTGCAAAGGCCCTGAGTCTGGAGGAGTTGTGGCTAATTCCAAACCTTGGAAGACAACAAAAATGAACAAAGAAAAAAATGGGGGTGAGGGAAAGGAAAATAACATTCTTGGTGTTTCGTTTTGGAGTGAAGAGGAGGCCCCAAGTTTGTAGCCTGAGTCCACAGAGTCATTTTGTGATTTTACACCAAGACTGTTGTAGAATAAAAATGAGATTAGGGGCACACACCTGAACAGGTGTGCTGTTACAATGATCATGGTGACTCTGCAAAAGAAAGTGAGGACTAGGAACTTTTAGTGTAACTCCTACCAAAATAAAAGTGAGTAGGCAAACTTGAAATACAGTTGTAAGGTGGTAGCTAACAAAAACATTTTCCTTTTCTTTTACTTAACCTGGTTGAGAATAAAAAGTGTATCTGCCTACTTACCTATTGCTTCAGGAAGTGGCTATAAACTATTTCTCAAAAGTTTATTTCTGAGTGTTGTACTTTAAGAACTAGCAACAATTAACCAAACCTTTACCTTGGTTTTCCCCAAAAGCCTCTACGCTTTTCCCTATTAACACTTAAGAAATGAGAAAAACTTCCATTGCTTGACTCTTGAGCACCAAATGACAAGGCAGAGTTCCAGTGGCCAGCATTATGAACATCAAAAGCACACCGAAGAGTGAGAATTTAGTAGTGGTGAAAGACGCCTACAAGACCCTGGGTCCTAACACAAACATTTCTTTCTCACAAGCCTACTTCATTATTTCTTAAAAGGCTGATAAGTAGTTTTCTACATTTCAGGAATTGTTAAATTGCTGTTCTTGGCTGGAGAGGAAAAAAAAATCTAAGAGTAAGAATTAGAGACCAAGCTAATCCCTTTGCTAACAATAACCACCATTTCCCAGGTTTACTAGCGTGCAGCTCTTATTATGCAAAGCTAGGTGGCTCTGAAAAGAGCCTTTGGGTTGTATGCTGCAGCGAGCGTGCTCACTTGGAGCTGGTGTACTTGGTGACAGCCTTGGTGCCCTCAGACACAGCGTGCTTGGCCAGCTCCCCGGGCAGCAGCAGCCTGACGGCCGTCTGGATCTCCCGGGAGGTGATGGTGGAGCGCTTGTTGTAGTGCGCCAGGCGCGACGCCTCGCCCGCGATGCGCTCGAAGATGTCGTTGACGAACGAGTTCATGATGCCCATGGCCTTGGACGAGATGCCCGTGTCCGGGTGCACCTGCTTGAGCACCTTGTACACGTACACCGAGTAGCTCTCCTTGCGGCTGCGCTTGCGCTTCTTGCCGTCCTTCTTCTGCGCCTTGGTCACCGCCTTCTTGGAGCCCTTCTTCGGGGCAGGCGCCGACTTCGCTGGCTCAGGCATGATTGGCTACAGCTTCCAAGAACAGAAAACAGTGAGTATCAAGCGTTGAGAGTTTGCCTATTTGTAGACAAAGGTATGCAAATGAGGACTTGAATTTTCATGTCTCTGATTGGTTCTTTCTAATACGTGTGCTTGAGAAGTCTGGAGTCTAAGTGGATCTCTTATTGGTCAAGTCGTCGGAGCCAATCCCTCCCCCAAGTCAGGCCAGCTTGTTCAGCCTCATTAATACCTTTTCCAGAATAAATTCCTGTTATTCAGAACAATTTTGCTCTGTTTTGGGGAAGCTTCTTTCTCCCATGTTTTGAAGTGTCAGGCTGGCAAAACTCGCAGCTCAGTTAACTCCATGAAATTTTGAAAACTCCTGAAGAGCAGTAATTTTAATTTTGAGTCCAGATTCTAGACCAGAGCCTGAAAAGGAGAGAGATAAAGGGGGCCAGGAAGTCAGGCAGACAGCCTCAGAACAGTGTTGGTTTTCTCCTGCTGTGTGTAGAATGTAGATAAAGCAGAAAAGGAAAGAGAACAGACCCCCGGAGAGGTAACAAGACAATTGCGTAGACAGAACCAGAGGAGAGGAAGATTTAGCGAACGCAATTCGTTGTTGTTACTGCAAAGGAGCGAATCAACGTAGGTTAGCCACAGACAGAAGACAAGAAATATCCTACCTAAATATCCCACCTAAGCTGTTTAAGAATGAAAAGAAACAGTCTAAAATGGAAAAGCCTCTTATGGAACAAGGTTACTTTCACTTTCTTTTTTTACAGAAACTGGCTTTTGTGAGGAAGTCTTCCATTCTGTTTTTCTCAGGTGATCTTCCCTTTTGTGGGTCCTCTGCCCCGTCTCTCCTCCCTCCTGCGTTTTAAGGCCCTAGGGGCAGGAGGTACCTGCACAAGTGTATTCTATAGGGAATGGTTAAGATCAAAAGATTGCTAAGAGGGGGGAACTTGGAGGCCCAGAAAAATCTGCTCATGCAAGTTTTATGAAGTAACCCTTGTGATTCATGCAGTTTTCCATCGTCAACTTCACTAGTTTAAGGCCTTCGTTCCTGATTTCATATTTTGCTACTTTCATCTAATTTAGTGTACTTGTAACCTCTACAAGCGGCTTTTTTGAGTCATTTTTTTAATGAGGACTCATGTATATGTAAAATTTATTAAATTATGTAATCTGTTCTTTTGCTAATCTGACCTATGTCACTTTAACTCTTAGGTTCAGCCAAAAGACCATGAGATGGCAGAGAATAAATTTTTCCTATTTCATGTAAGTATTTCAAAACAATAGCCTGCCTTTTCATATATAAAACTAATGCAACAGAGGCTGGCTAATTACATGATTACTTTTTTTTCTTTGTCTTTCTGATTGATTAGATACTTAATGCCATTTCTTTTTAGCTCCTGAATTTAGGTCATAAACACTGATTATCACCAGAGCGGCAAATTTTTATACATACCATTATTGCTGTGTCATTGTTCAACTGGCTCTTAGGCTAGGTGTAACTTATTTTTCTCAGCATATCTCCAGTTTTCTTAACTGTAGCCTTTTGTAGCTATGTTTTACTTTGGTGGGCCTTCTCCCAGGAGACTTTCTCCATACAGGTACTTCAACAAGACCGCGTTCTTTCTGTTGCAGTCTGCTGCTCCCATTGTGGTCTGTAGCCCAGCAGCAGGAAGTCACCTGTTAGCTTAGAGATGTAGAGTCCGGTCCAGATCTATGCACACTGCACCCTAGGGTGGTCCCCAGGAGACCTGAACTCACACTCACTGGGAGAAGAGGGCTGGGAGATGTGGGTGTATCTGTCATGTAGCTTCTGTCTTTTCCTGCTGTGGAGATTCTAGTGGCAGAATAAAAGAAAAGGCATCAAGGGACATATTTTCCTTCTGCCTCTATCCCCCATTTTTTCCAACA